AAGATTCATTTTGGTTATTTTTCTGCTTTTTTTTCTGAGATATGTAACGATCACATAGTTTTCCTTCCTACTTACACCAACTTTACTTGTGACGTACCTATAATCCTGTCAGGAATTGACTCGCACCAACGTAAACATCAACGCTGGTAATCAATAACACATAGACTTAGAAAGTGGTTCTTAGTTCTTTACTGGCAGCATGTTACCTTCTTCCCGTTTGTCTCTAACATTTGACTTGGTCTTCCCTTCTTTCTCAAACACGCGCTAAGCCAGTCTCTTTGTTTCACACCTTGCACCTTGTTCCCATAGTTCTGGATAGTTTCCTTCAAAGTCAGCACGTGAGTAGTTTCTCGAATGAAAAGGTATGGATTTGTTTCTTGAAGGGAAAGGTAGGATAAATTTCTTAAGGAAAAGGGTGTGGGTGTTTTTTAAATGAAATAGCTATGGGTAGTTTCTTACGGGAAAAATACATGGGTGTTTTCTTGAAGTGAAAAGGATTGGATAAATTTTTGAAGGAAAAGAAATATATGGACAGTGTTTGTATAGGAAAGATACAGTCAGTTCCCTGCAACAACAAGATATTTTTTTCCAAAAGCAAGATCTAGGATATCTATGTAGTTTGTGTGGAAATAAAATAAGATTTTCCATGAGGAACAAGATACAGACAGTAGGATATAGTTATTTCCTAAACAACAAGATATGAGAAGTTTCTTTGTGTTATCAAATCTCTGACTAATTTTCTTCTTAGAAATTGTGAGTGTAGTTTTGTACTAAACTGAAACGTAAATCATTTTATGTTGTAATGACATCATTAAAGATACAGTTATTTTGTATATTAATGTATATGTTGTCACTTGCACCTTGTGTGAGTAATGTCTACCGAAGTATAAACCATATAGTCGTCTGTATGGGTGTAGTTATATACAACCTTTCGACAGTTTAATAAACATATTACACGCCAGAACCGGCTCTGATGCTATTTTAATAACGAACACATTGGATTGGAATTAATCTTCAAAATTAAAACTTGAATTTATGAAATGAAAAACTTATCAGTGTTGTTTGTTAATTATATATATGTTGGGTTTTTACTTGTTAGTTTCAAATATACCATATCCAGTTATCGCCACGTTATTGTGTGAAGAAGTAAAGGACATAATTGTTAATTATATAACGTGGCGATAACTGGATATGGTATATTTGAAACTAACAAGTAAAAACCCAACATATCTTGTGTGAAGAAGTAAAGGACATAATATTTATATCGTCATTGGACGTCGAAATCGCAATTGGTAGATTAATTTTTTCGAGTTTTTCATAGATGCATTTGGTGCACTATAACAACAAGTACAACCCTTCCGATGCCAACAAGCAACCTGATGGACTGGCTGTTCTTGGCGTTCTATTTATGGTAAGAACAGTTCTCAGATATACTTTTATACATTCTTTTTTCACACATCCATCATCTTTTTTACACCAAGTGAGCAAATTAAAATAAATAGCTTTTTTTTTTTGAAGAATTCAGTTATATAATGAAAACACATGAAATCATCCAAATTAAATACTTAAAACACAATTTCCCAGAAAGAATATCCATTTCTTTGTATATACTACCCAATGTTTAGATTAGAGCAGATCAAACTACAAACACAATACGAAGCTTATTTATGTTGTAAGATGGGATCAACAATAGCTACCATTTATTAGAACACATTAACAGTTGTCATTTTATGAGTTTTACAGAATATTCATCGATTTGCTAAAACTGTTAACTTCTAATTATTGCAAGTCAATTTTACGGGAATTTGTTTTAAAACTATAAAACAAATAATGCCTTTAATGCTAATATTTAGTATAATCACCTTTGGCATTAATAACAGCATTGTGCTTATCTATTTTTCAAAATCTCTAATGTAATTTTATGTCAGGTATTCTATTTGGTGGAAATCTCTTGAATTTTCTTTCTTTGACAAATAGGCTTGACATTTCTTGAAAGTGTTTTTAATTCATTATCTCCTTGAAATATGATATTATATTCAATTAGGATGGACTAATATTTTATGCTATTTATGCCTTTAGAGCAATGACAAAATCATTTGTAGCTATTGCACTCTAAATCACCATGTTGATATGTCACACTTCTTTTGTAACCTCTCAAAGCACCACTGTTCCAAACACCAAGATGCATGTCTTTTTGCTGTATTATAGTTGCTCCATAAGGACTTTCTAGCTACTACACTTTCCCAAAGGCTATATTTCTGCACCATTCCTTGATCTTTACCTGTATGTGAATTGTTAATATCAACCATAGGCGCCGATCCTGGGGGACGGGTGAGAAACGTTCCTTGTACCTTTAGCAGTGGAGGATGGTATATGTATCTGCTATCCCCCGGTTAAATATATATATTCTATTGTTTTTGTGTATGTGTATGTGCTTTACTGGACCGCAATGGATCACTCTTCTCGTTTCCGAAAATTAAACCGGTCTGAAACTGTAAACAAAATCTGCTCAATAATGCTCTTGTACCGTGACAGTTTCCAAGGCTATATCCCATATCACGCCATACGCGAAGTTTAGTGCACTTCTTTATGATGTCTTGATGCCTTAGGGAACAAACGAATTGCATTTCGATGTACCTTTCATTATTTTAAGCCCGTAAGTTGCCACATCTGAAAAACATATTATATGAAAATGGTGGAATGGACTCCAGTAAAGGTGTACGAATATGTTTTCAAACAAACTTTAAAAATTCTTCTTAAAAAATGACGAAAACACCAATTTTACATACTTGTTTAAATACCAACATGAAAAGAGGAAAAACGCTCATGTTAAAGTTTAAAGAAAGTAAGTCGTAATTTTGTCTCAGCTAGCCTGAAAAATAATGTATCACAGTCATTTGGAATAGATTAAATGTGGGGAACTTGTTTTATTTTTGTTTTTATAAAACTAAAAAGTACTGTAATGAACAGCCTAATTATTATTGGGAGAATCTATTTAGAACATATTCAAGTGAGTAATCTTATTTCTTTTTTAAATAACAATATCTTGAAACGTTATTACTGTTATTACAATCAAACGTAGCTGTCAAGATTACAGAATAATGTGAAACATCCCTCTCTCCTGGCCAATGTGAACCTTTTTTTTAATCAATGACGTCATGCAATATTTTTCTTAAATGGTCCCCCCAAATTGCAGTCGAGATCAGCGCCCTTTATATTATCAGCACAGTCATACGCAGTTTTCAATAACTGATTTTCAGATATCTAACATTTTTTTTCAGCGTATTTGTTTTTCTCCTTTCCTTGCTTGCCTCACAGCGGTATGTCTGCGGGCTTACAACGCTAGACTTCTGGTTTCGATACCCATGGTGGCCAGAGCACAGATAGCCTATTGTGTAGCCTCGTGCTTAATTACAAACAAACCTTTTCCTGCCTTGTCTGATATTTATAGGAGTGGGTTTCTTCGTCTTTGACTAACGTGTACATCACAGCACTTGGTGACCAGCCCAGGTCTCTTGGAGTTTTTCTTGCATAATGTATCGATCTGACTCTGTCATAGGGCGTTAATTCTGTCTCTTCATAGGGTATTAATTCTCCATTTTTTGACAGTTTACTGTATAGTGTTTTTGAAAACAAAATCCTAATATACCAATATATAACTCAGAATATAAAGATCTAAAATGTTTTTCTATGATAACTGGTACTTAAACTAAAGGCAAACATGTCGGACACTCTTGCACCAATTTTTCCAATATTTTAAACTCCAATGATTCATTTCGTAAGCACAACAAATAAAAACTACAGACGCAGTCAGGTGTTCTAATAAATGTATATACTACTGTACGTCAAGCTGAAAACACATTTCATTCCCCCTAAAATACTAAAATCAAGTGAAATTGTGAAAAATTGGAATATTTGACCCCAATGTTCAACTAAAAATGTGATTTCAAAAACCTTTCAATATTGAATTCAATTTCAACGGCAAACACTGCAGTGTTTTCATAATAATGTATGCGTTTTTATCTTAGCTTTTCAGGATTTGGGAACAAAGTTTATGAAAGAAAATGTTGTACAACAGTTTGTTTGTTTGTTTTTAATTATGCACAAAGCTACACAAGGGCTATCTGTGCTCTGCCTACCACGGGTATCGAAACCCGGTTTCTAGCGTTGTAAGTCCGCAGACATACCGCTGTGCCACTGGGGGGCTTGTACAATAGGTATTGGTGGAATTACAAACGAAATCTTACCTTAACACGGGAAGAAAACCAGTTATTACTGAACACATCATTTAGTGAAGTTATCACATACGTAAAGCTTCACTATCATATTATTACGAGAATTTATTAATGTATATTTTCAAACTAAACACAACTGATTTCGGCTATCCAGAAGCTACTATAATAAGATGAAGCTTTTCATGTTATTTTTCTCGTGTCCATATAAATATATATATTAATGTTAATTTTACAATGGGTTTCTTTAATCCAAGTGTCATGCTAGAATGCTCGAGTTCTCACATTCTAACCTTGCTTTAACTTCAACACCTCTAGTTTTCAATAACGCTCATTTCTTACAGAGAAGTAATTTTCTCTAATCTATTTGTCATTGTTGAGCACAAAGCTATACAACGGACTATCTGCTCTGCCCACCACAGGTATGTAAACTCCGTTAATTTTCTATAAAGCGTGTATGTATTAATATATTACTTAGTGAACAAATGAATTTACGCAGTATATTTATACCGAGATCCGCATGTATGAAACTTAAAATAGGTAATCTCTAAAAGTAAAAACAAGCTCAATACTGAGATCCACATGTATGGAACTTAAAATAGGTAATCTCTAAAAGTAAAAATAAGCTCAATACTGAGATCCACATGTATGAAACTTAAAATAGGTAATCTCTAAAAGTAAAAATAAGCTCAATACTGAGATCCACATATATAATACTTAAAATAGGTATCTCTAAAAGTAAAAATAAGCTCAATACTGAGATCCACATGTATGAAACTTAAAATAGGTATCTCTAAAAGTAAAAATAAGCTCAATACTGAGATCCAC